GTAAGATTTACGAACCATTTAATACAAGTCCTTATTTGGACGCTTTCGTCTGGCCTTCCATAGAGACCTGAGTCAGAGGCTGAACGCGTACATTGTCGTGTACACCGCGCACTAATAAGGAAATCTGGATGACGTTTCGTGTCTATGGTAATTTAAAATACGACGAGCTTCGTTTGGCGCGTAAATAGCGTAAAATTTAATTCGGAACGCTCTGCCATAAAAATATTTTTACGTCGTTATAATCAAAAAGGATTAATGATGTATGCTGTTAAAATATTTAGCGAATGCCTTGACTTCGTTTTGAGGTTTATTTCTCAAGGCGTTACTCGAAATATTCGGTATATCAGCTTGTTTAATTAAAGTGCATTTAATTACATCAGCTTTATTTTTTGTTGATTTAATTTTGAAGATTTTACTCTCGTTAATCTTTTAATATGTTTTTAGATATCGAAATCCTTAGCAACCAGACGAAATTTAGACTTTGTTTTGATATTGCAAGTTTTGTGATTGTACAGCTTCAGGGATAAAAGGTTAATAAGACATTAAGGTTGAGTTTTCAATGTAAATAAAACTCAGTCCAGATTAATTATCGAAGGTTATCTACAAATCATTCATTGACAAACCCACCTTTATATGTATTGAGGTTCTAATTAGACTCTAGTTTAGGACAGATTATACATACTTATTATAAAGGTACAGCGTTTGCATAAATATTAAAATGATAATGAATACTCTACGGGCAGTCTATGATCTATGGTCTAGCACAGATATAGATATGACGCTCTATGAATAAACAATTGGAGTCTCTATGTAATAATAACATATGGCGGACAATTGCATAAATAAATAGCTATGCCGGAATATTTTCTATTGACAAGAAATACAAATATAAACACGGAGATCTCACAATACTTCGCCATTTTATTGATAAACAAGAAAACATAAATATTGCACATATCTTATTTTTTTATAAGAGAGACATCTATTAATTGTAAATTAAAATAATAACACGCTATCCATCCGGGATAAGAATATGACTTCGCGTAAATTAACAAAAGTGCCCTACAGAAGACGAAGAAGAAGTAGATATCACACAAACGCTAAAAATACTGTATTGTTAAATTCTTTTTTCAAACGTAACGCCTCAGTAAAATAGACTATACAAAATATTGGCACACTTTTGCATGAGAATTGTAATATGTAGTTGTAGGAACATTGGCACTTATTTCACTTCCGTGTCAAATTTTAAACTAGTAATTTATCTATTCTAGCTTACCTGGAGAAATCACAGTAGTGTTCACTAAACTTCCAAAGCCAATAGCCAACTATCAACCAGACTCCATCATAACTGTGGGAGAGCAATGCTTGGGCACGAATGAGCAGGCCGACCGGAGTGATACCAGGGCCTCATAGTAAAACTTGTGAATGAGGTTACCGGAGGCCCAATTCTTCCTCTCACCAAATCCAAATCCCTCTCCAAAACCTTATCCTCAAAAGGTCGGCAACGCACGTTTACCCTAATTCTGCAGCTAAGAATTTTGTCTTCACTGTCTAGCTAATGATGACGATGAGTTTAAATCTGATACAAAAAAAAAATATCGGCATGTCAACCATGTTTATTGATTTTTAGTTGTCGATGTTTAAGAATATCATTAGAAATTTCTAGTAAAATGATATTCCATCATATAGGGACATCTGCCGTTGCGGATACAAGCGCAAATAATGTACCGCATTGGAGCCTGAGGCAGGATAAGGAGCGGAATAGTTTTTAATCAGAAAATTTGACACTTCATCGTGCCCTTCAGAGGGTGGGGGTGGGGAGAAAGAAGTATTGAAATGATTCTTCCACCAACAAACAAAAGGACATAGTGTGTTAAAAAGTTACCAAACATCCCAAAAGAATGTCAAGTAGTTATTAAACCAGGTGCCAGCTGCTATACGGGACGGGATTTTTAATTATACACTTCCATCTGCGCAAGCGACATTAACTACTATACGTTGACCTTTCAAAGGTCGATGTCGAGGCGACGGTGTCCACTATTCACTATTCATACGTTTTATCACACACGACCCAATGAAAACGAGTTTCCCGCAAGATGAAATGTCTTTCCGATTCCGAGTGTGCCAAGGTGACTATGATTAAAGTTTTTATACAGTCCTTACTAGCGGATCGACCCATCTTCGCTCGGGTATCCGACTACCCTGATGTTAGTCATTTGTTTTGCACCGAAAGGATTGTTAGCCCTTTACTTTTCTGAAGTCCAGTTTTACTTTTCTGAGTTCCGTTTTCAACATAACAAAAAAAAAGTATTGGCAAAATTGGTCCAGACGTTATTAAGTTATGTGCTTACCAACACATTTCGCTATCCATTTATATATGTATAAATAGATTAAAGAAAGTAATTTTAATAAAAGACTTAAAAAAATATATTCAATATTTAAGATAATATTTTTAATCTGAGTCTAATAACATCGTGTTATGCGTACGCGCAAGCATGACACACGTATATGTAAATCATATGGCATCCACGCACCATTATGTAATCATTATAGTGTTGAGACTCGTGTCCTTGCGTTAATTATTAATACTATAACTATTTGCTAGTAGTTCCAATATCTATAAAACATAAATAAAAAATGTTCGTCATTCTGAAGGCAGTAAAATGTTGCCGGTCGTGATAAATACGAACGAAGATTTTATTGACAGTAATAAAATAGTGTACGTATGTATATGCGACTCTAAGTACAAAACTAAACAATGAATTTTCAATTTTATGGTGAAGGACATTCATCAGTTCTAGAAAATTCTAGAGCTTTTCAGAATACAGTTCACCATTGAATTACTATCTTTTTACTACTATGTTTAATTACTATTTCCGTATTCGTAATAATATGAATTCTTATGTGCATTTCTCTGTTATTGTTTACACATATTTCAAACTACACTCAACATTTTTTTTTATAATAAAGAGACAATTACATTATTTTCCTTCTTAAAGCACACTATTTGCACAAAGAAAATTGGAAACAAACAGAAACAATCATATACAATGTGACAGAACATTTTATTAATTAATACACATCTATTTATTATAATGCCTTCCACATATTTCACTAACCTTTAACATTGTAACAATTTTACATTTTGTCTATAAGACAATAGGGTAATAACCTTGCAAGCATGTTAAAAGCCGGCAATTTTCAATTATCAATGGATTTTATGGATCAATAAAAAAATCTGATATTTTGCTACACACATCGCGAGGATTTTAAGATTCATCTATGAAATTGGACATATAAAATACATAACAAACTACTTCATAACAACTGTAGAGCTGTACTTTTAACAGTAATTAAGCGGTGTTTAATACCCAATCAAGTCATTAAATCGGCCTAATCGAGGTTGCATTGATAATATTAGATTGATAAGAGGCTGAACAAACAGAATAAATATGTAAAATCATATTGATGGAACATTCGTATTAAAATTATATCATAATCCTTCTGAAAATCTTCCGTCACTAACTTTCAAATTAGAGAAGTTGAATACATAACAGCTGGGTAACTGGCTGCATTGTATGATCCACAAATTGCTGTTCGAGGTCTGGATGTGAAATGTATGGTAAATTGTTGTATGCAATGTTTACAACCCACAACACAGGAGAAAATCGTAATGTGGAAAACGCAGTAAAAAAAGACAAGAAATTAACATCGAAGACAAAACGACAAATAGCTATAAGACACATTACAAACGCAGTAAAATTCACGCCCTCAATTTGGGCGATTAATGGAACGGAGTAGTAAAGACCATAATATGGGTGGACGTAAAACTGAATCTCTTCCCAACACGAAACTAAAAACAAGTCACTTAAAACATTCTTGGAAAATTTATACATATGGGTAACAGAACCATTGATGTTTTTATCCAATGCATTGTGTTCACCTGTACAGTTAATAACATTGCTAACTATTCCAACCTTTGCAAGACCTCTGCAATTTAATCCGGCGTAATCCTACCTACTTTATTTCACACATGCCGCGACCTTTCAATGTCACCACTCTACATTCCATTTTGTGATGAAATATTACATTTTAGCGTCTAAACAAGAAAATTCTATTATTCGTGGGCTTGGCGATAATGATAATCAAGTCTTTATACAGCCTTTGCGCCTACTTATAAAACGGTATTATACTATTTGTAGTACAAAAACGAATTGCATAAACACTTAAACACGACTAGCCCTTGTATAACAGTGACTGCTTAAGAAAACTCATTGAAATGTACACATGATTGACTAATGAAAACACCTGATAACGTAACACAAACAGTTTACAGCAAATTCTCATCTAAAACACAGTATAAAGGTGATGACGAGACAGTAAAGTCCATACAGTTTGGTCACCACCCACGAGGTCTTCCAGGAATAGACGCAATCGTCATAAAAGAACGGAACAAAACCGCAAACCCGTCAACTAATGCTAATGAAACCAAATTAACCTGACTACAAACACGAATGACTTCACTTATCACGAGCACTACTTTATAAAACATCATAGCATCAAAAATATAATTGAGTTGAACACTATTAACGGCCATACGCTTTAGTTGGGACAATTAATGTGTGAACAAATCATGGAAATACACAAACATGTTGACATATCAAACCGTTAGACGCTCAACTAAACACTCCAAAACTAGCAAACATTTGAATTACAAAAGAGAAATGTACATCTGTACGGTTCACGGATCGTAGTAAATAAACACGCAGCGATAGCCCAGTCTCACGACTCTACGTGGATGCACTTGAGGAACTCACATGAGAAAATAAACACCAACGCCGGGAAATGATAGCGAGAACCTAGTTATACACTATCCAACACACAGCTGTAACCACACGCGTAATTACGGTAAACAAACACCATCCAAATGATAGCCGGAGATAAATATACGTTACACAGTTTTTACATAATTAAATAAATCAATATCGATTAATACTTACAGCCGGGCGATATTCCGTTCTCCTTCATAGCGCAGCGGAACGGATAATAAGTGCCAGGTAGCACCTTGCCATACATTGTTCGATCCATCTTGGGCCAATCACAGCTGTCTTTGAGAATTAATAACACCCACAGGAACCACACCGGCGTCAGCGCACCATAATCACAACCTACACACTACCGGCGTAAACGACGTCCTACGCGAGGAAATGCAAAACACTTGCAATTACTATCCACAGGGCATTCCCGTGTAAACAATTTATTGTTATTTATGCACACACGATATTAGACTATCACAAGGACACAACGCGACTGAGCTGCTAGCTATCAATTTAGTTTAGAAACTTCGATCGTCATATCGATGATTTTACTTTTGTTATCGATAAGCTTAGTGATAAGTGATAAGGCAATGTCACGGGGGCGAGGTCGCGGTGCTCCGAGTAGAGTATTCGTCAACGCGGCGCGGTCACAACTGTCGTGTCGTAATGCCGGTGCCGACGCCGGCGCGCGCGCAGCCACACCGGCTACACTTCTAGTATTATTTATACGCAGGGACGGTAACAAATCACTGCATTTGTCAAAATTCATCCGTTTGTTCCGGCTTCTGTACTGTAGTTTAAGGAAGACTATCGTAAATCAAACAATATCCCAATTAAAGATCAAGCACTAGATATTTTACAGGACTAAAAATATCGTAAGTGTCACTGAAAATTTTCTGAAAAGCCACCTCGATGTGTTCGGAATAAAAAAATTAATCAAAAAGATCAATCGTAACAATTAAAAGACCCGATAAGATGTTAACGATTGAAATACTCGTAATTGGAAGAAATAATTTATCTTTAGAGAATTCCTAAAATTCTAAGTTTGGAGGTAGAGTTGTCGGCAAACAAACCCGAAAGGAGACGATCAATCATGAATTCCGTGGCGGGAAAAAATCTAATTTCGTGCTTCGTTCCCGCCAAATTTTACCGCACCCAAGCCACATCCGGCAATACGATGCGCACGAGTCCCTTGACTTAAGACATCCGGCTCCTCATTCCACTCCATCACGCTTCACTATTGGTTTACGATTGTCATTAGAAAGGTAACGACTTCTACTTTGATCTAGTCGAAAAGAAAGGGTTATTAAGTTTAACAGCTGCTTCAAAACATTACGAAACTATGTTAACAACAAAATATGTACGATATTTTAGGTTATAATATTCACAATATAATGAAGAAAGTGTGTGTAAAAGACAAGAATTCAGCAAACATTAAAACACTTTAACTACCAAACATGGGCACATAGGTTTGCACAGTGAAGTGCATTTTACAACTTGTCCATTTTACGATAGAGTTAACTGTTCTATTGTTCCCTGGCTGGTCTCTAATAAGGAAGTAAATATTTGAGTGGTACTAGCACGGTGCTAACTCAACCCACTTGCATACTTGACTATCGTACAGACCAAATAATTAACAGTGCTATTTGTTGAGTCTTCAACTACTTTATTTAGTGCCTCTAAAACATTGTTTGCTGTTACATTGTCATTTTCTACAGAACTTTACGATCTAATAAGAGAAATTTCACGCTTCAGATGATGAAATTTATTAACATTAACTGTTCATTACGAACGTACCGATACGACCTTGATAGGTCTTGAACTTACGGTCCCTAACTGCGATTAAAGTTTGAAACAACGCCAAGAACAATCGTTCTAACTGCCAAGGGTAATTATTTAAAAATAGTCAAGAAACATTAATGAAAGTTCAAATTCACACAAACGGCCTATTAATAAAAACTTTAAAAAAATATACATATATAATATTTACACTATTGTCGTAAACGAGAAAATGTCTACAGAAAATTTGTCACCGATATTTTTTTTTTATTTTTCATTTAAAGTAAACACAATAGTTTTCAAAAATAAATTAATAGCTTTTATAATTAACTTTGACGTTTAAATCACTAAAATTTACAAAATAGACCATAAACAAGAAAAAAATAAACAAAAATTCCGCGTCACGAACACGTCCAAAATTTAAATAAAGAATGCTTTAGAAATAGTATTTTCGACCAGTACGATGGGTCTGGGTACACGCGTGCGACTGACAGATGTCGGGAACGCGTAACACGCAACTCATCGAAGTCGGTGACGGCGTGGTGACGTCACTACACATTATTTACTACCTTATCCAACAACCCCACTGATTTAGGTCACAAATAGAAAATTAATAGTATCAAACCCAAATTGGCAGACGATTAAGTTTATTAGCTATGTCTGTCGCAGAATCAAGGTTGGACATTGTAATTTCTCGGAAAACCTGACATCATAAGTTTCCAAGGTGTCTTAGATCACTATTATACATTATTTTAACAGGATGATAAAATGAAATCACCGCTTAAATGTAAACTGTTTCAGTTTACTTAACAAGAATGTCTCAGAGTTTCCCCTTTGTTCCATATTGCAAATTTGCAATAGTGAATTAATCTATTACTTAGTGTCTGAAAAAAAAATTGTCCATTCTGTTTTTGAGTAACAAAACTTGGTATGCTCTATAGTATAATAAAAAGCCTTAAAAACTATCGACCCGCTGTCCCATGTAATATGTATCTAATCACACAAGATAGGTGTGTCGCCTATTACAACATTCCCCAGTGCAGCACGACGACTAATGAAATTAATTAGGCAGAACGGGAACGAAAAACGAAACACATTAAGCGTAGTATCGCGTGAATTGTGCGTGTAAAATGTGGAAATGTGATGCCTATGGTAATGACACAACATTTTTCAAAACAACTACGACCAATGTATCTAAGGCCTTTGGAAAGTCTAAACTGTATAGATCTCGGGAACTGTCCAATTAGAACGACACTAGAATGCAAATTTTTTTGATATTCCTTCAGTTTGTCTTGTATGAGCGTAAACAGGCATTCGCTAAAAGTTTTCTGTTTCTTGAAATTCCTAGAGAAGAGACTTTCTATACTTATTTTAAAGTTCATTGGACGGAAAGAAGCGAAAACTGCTAAGTACTTAATGGGATGAGTAAGGGTATTGTAAAAGTCCATTGGAGATAGGGAACGTTTTTTTTACAGTTTTTATTAATTTGGAAACTAGGTTTAATAGAGGTTAATAACTTTTAGTATAATATTAACGATTTTAAAGTTTCATAAAAGCAAAATTCCTTACTAACTAACATTTCACGGAAAACATCTAACTTATGAAGTCCCTTAATTAATCGATTATTTTGGTCGTAACTCAGCGAAAAAATCTTGATTTCAATTCAAGAATCCGATTTATTGGTCTGTCAGTTCACATGGACATTCCACACTGACATGTAACAGATTTCTTGCATTCCCCCTCTGGGATATTTCTCGAGTGCCTGATTAATCCCTACAGCTGTATTTTTAGAATACGCGTAGGTATGGACCTATGAAGGAATTAACGTACATCATAGCTTGTTAAGATATGGCTGGGCCACTTAACGTTGATTGGTTTTTAATGGGAAATTGCGCGGCATATTGTGTGCCATGATGTTAGTAATACTGATGAACTACTGCAATATCTCATTTTAATCTTCTAGTTAGTGGGAGCGGTCGGCTGTGTCGTGATAATCTAAATATAATATGCGAGGAAGTTGCGTGTATTAAGGACTTTCTTATGCCAGTTGCCCATCGGTCTTGTGTGAATATTGTCTGGGCATTCGCTTTTATTGATAAGTGCGCCCTTGTATTGGCATCTGCTGTTCGTTTATAGTTTTGTTATGAATTAAAGCGGCTCTTTGAGTTAATTTTGCTTCCCATTTTTCTCAGGGTTCAGTTATGCCTTTATTATGTGTTTTTGAACGATTTTTTTAGTGTTGGGCTGAGCTGTCGAGAGCTTAAGAAAGTAAGAATGTTTGAATACTAATCCAAGAATTTATCAATACTAATTTTATAGGTACAATTTTCTTATTAGGACAAATTATTACGTTAAGACCGCACCGCGAATATTTTGATTTTAGATAGCTCCGCCCACTACACCCCGCGCGCTTACCGCGTCGCGCAACCTATACTTCTCACTCAATGTGTAAAATTTGAATTACGCGCCAATCGCACACGCCGAGGTCAGCGCGGGGTCAAGAGAACTGAACAGGGAAGATAAGGAGCCGCAATACATTTCATTTTTTGATCGGATTTTTTTTTTGTTGTACTTACAAAAGTTATTTGTAATGAAAACTTCTTATGAAGAGTAATATGATAATTTGGACGTGTATGGTTGTGAGTATGTATGTGTGGTGTGTTGTGTATGTCTGTTTGTGTATATCCAGAACAGATGAATCGATATTTATTTGGGGTTTTTTGTTTGAAATTTAAAGTAATCGGGAGTGTTCCTAGCTTTGTTTGGTGAATATCAGCCCAAGATGGCCGCCTCCCAAAATGGCGAATCGCATATTTTTTTACGATTCCTTCAATATGGGTATCAAATGAAAGGGCTAAACTAGTAGAATAATGTATAATATTATTTAAAATCCAAGATAGCCACCATTAGAAAATGCTGAATTGTATTGTTTTTTTTATAGCGCCCTCAATATGGGTATCAAAGGGTTGACTAGTGTAAAATAATCTTTACTAATATTGTAAGCTCGGTGGTAAAATATTTGAAATCCACTATTCTGTGATTCCCATCTTTTATTTTCTAGATCTAAAATATTTAAAACAACATATTAAATAAATTTTAAAATAAAAAAAAGTTTTTACAAAAAAAAAAAACGTAAACTGACTTCACAAAAAAACTAAAATCGAAGAGTTCCCTCGATGCTTTGTCATCTCTATTATCAGATCAGCTCTATATCTTCATGGTATTGCAGTGACATCAGACTTTCACCTGAATATCAAAATTTTACTCAATACGGGCCTACAGTTTTCGAAAAATACCCTCGATTCCTTTTTAATAATTCACAAAAAAGAAATTATTCAAATTGGTTATTACCTAAATAGCGGAGAAATGCGCGAACAAACATAAATAGCATATGTATGGTCGAATTGAGTAATTTGGGAAGTCGGTTTAAAAACAAGAAGACAAAGACGCTGGCAAAATCTAGATAGCTTTTAATGAAAGGTAACAAGTTTGATTTAGCAGACGCATACTTGTTCTCCTTGTGTTGCTACTTCACAAGGTAAATCCCATAGTTCGCTGACAGACTCTGTTTTTTCTTTATCTAGTTTGTTCTTTCCTTTCACGGGACCACAGGGTCCCGGCACTTTGGAAGGCGTACGAGGAGCCGAAGCCAACTTGCAGAGGCCTGTAGAACAATTTTAATCTAAATGCCATGGGACATCAGCTGGCAATTATCCCTGTA